ACTCCTGGGCTCAAGCGAGTCTCCTGCCTCCGCCTCCCAAGTTGCTGGGACCACAGATGACTGCCACAATGCCTGGCTATTTTTTTTTTTTTTTTGGTTGCAGCCATCATTGTTGTTTGGCCAGCCCGGGCTGGATTCGAACCTGCCACCTTAGGTGTATGTGGCTGGTGCCTTAGGCACTTGAGCCACGGCCCCGAGCCTAGTTTATTTATTTTTGAGACCAGATCTCACACTGTCACCTGGGCGTCATCATAACTCACTGCTACCTTAAACTTCTAGGCTCAAGTTATCCTTTTGTCTCAGCCATGGTATGCCTGGGTAACTTTTAAATGTTTGTAGCGATGTTGGTCTTACTGTGTTGCTCAAGCTGGTTTTGAACTCCCGGCCTCAAGAGACCCTCCCAACTTGGCCCCCTAATGTGTTAAGATTACAGGCATGAGCCACCATGCCTGGCCTTAAATTTATTTTAATATATATTTTTTAATTTTTAAAATTTAATGTTAATCCAGCTGGAATTTATTCTGGTGTGTGGGAAGAGATGAGATCAGTTTGTATTTTCCATTTGAATAGACAGTTTGCAAGCACCAATCATTAAATGAATACCCTTTTCTAAATTAAATGCCACTTGGTCACAACAATCCCTAAATGTATATTGTTTTATTTCTGGACTCTATTTGTTCTTCTGATATATTTATCTATTCTCTTTTAAAACTTTTATTAACTTTAGAAATAGTTTTAATATCAAATAGTACTTGTTTTGCACATTGTTCTTTTTTTATGTTTTCTTTCTTATTCTCAAGCATTTATTCATCCATGTGACTGTTAAAACCATTTTATCTCATTTTAAATATAACCATTAAAAATTACAATATTTGGGACTCGGAGCCTGTAGCACAGTGATTACAGCATCAGTCACATACACCAAGGCTGGCAGGTTCAAAACCGGCCCCAGCTAGCTAAACAGACAATGACAACTGCAATGAAAAAATAGCCTGGCGTTGTGGTGGGTGCCTGTAGCCCCAGTTACTTGGGAGGCTGAGGCAAGAGAATTGCTTAAGCCCAAGAGTTTGAGGTTGCTGTGAGCTGTGATGCCATAGTACTCTACCGAGGGCAACATAGTGAGATTCTGTCTCAAAAAAAAAAAATTACAATATTTGATAGTTTTCTTGTTATAGGTCCAGTGCCTTTTTTTGAAAGTTCATCCTTAGATATTTTGTCTGTGCTTTTGTCATCACTGTGAATAGCAGTGGTGGTCTGCTATTTTTTCTTACAATATGATTGGAAACTGTAAATGACTCGAATAGACCTTCTAATATTTGAATTTTATTGAAATCTATTGATATTTGAATTTTATTTCTTATCCAATCCAGTTATCAAATTCTCATATAAATTTCAGTTGCTTTTTATAGTCTCTTAGATATCATATTACATCCAATTAAAAATGATACTCTCTCTTCCTTTCAAATATTTATTCTGATCACTCATCTTCTATTGCATTAGCTAGAGCTTTTGTAAAAATGTCGAGTGATACTTGATAGAAAGTATTGCTATCTTGTTGCCAATGTTAATGAATATAACTTGGACTTTTCTATTAAAAGTGAAAGCTGTTTATTTATTCATCCATCCATTCAACACTTATTGAGTACCTACCCTTTGCCAGATACTGAGTTTGGAATCCTGCTTAGCTGCTTACTAGCTATGATTTTTTTCCTAACAACTTTATTGATATAATTCACCTACCATAAAATTTATCCACTTAAAGTTCAGTAGTTTTTCAGAATTGTGCAACCATCACCACAATATCGTTTTAGAATATTTCATCACCCCCAAATGAAACCTTGTACCCATTAGCAGTCATTCCTCAGTCCCACCCCTCACCTCTAGCCATAAGCAACCACTCATTTACTTCCTATCTCTATAGACTTGTCTATTCTAGTAGATATTTTATATAAATGGAATTGTAAAATATGTGGGGATTATTTTTACTGCCTTTTTTTTTTTTTTTTTTTTTGGAGAGCAGGCTGTAAGACTGGCAGGGCCCTCCCAGCCTGGGGAGCATTCAGAGAATGAGCCCCCAACTGCTTCTCCATTCCCAAAACAACCATATTCCTTTCTTCATGCACTCTCTGCCAGAAGTCACGTAGCCCTTTCTTTGTCTATTTAATTATGCAGAGATCCTGGAGATCTCTCCCTTCTTTCTCCTTGTCATACGCTAACAAAGTTGAGCCCACTAAGTCACATTGTTCTTAACCTTTGTTTTGGTAACTACTCAGAGATCCTCGTGACCTTTCCCTTCTTACTTCTTGTCATATGTTAGAGAAGTTGAGTAGAAACCGTTAACAAGATGATTTGTCTCTATTGGAGTCATTTACAGTTTCCAATCATATTGGAAGACCCAAAATATGTCTTTTGTTTATGCTACTTCCCTGTAGAGAACCCTGTACAGATACTATAAAATAAAGCTGATTGTGTGCTTTGGGGCTGGCCGCAGCCATTAGCTCAGTCAGCCCTCCTGATCTCATCCTTTATTTCCGCGTCTTCTCTTGTGTCGTATTTTCCTCTTTCCCCACCAATTCCACTCTGGTTCACGCCACTTTGCCATGCTGGTTCACGACATTTTTTCACTTAACATAATGTTTTCAAGGTGCATCCATGTTATAGCATGTATCAGAACTTCATTCATTTTTATTAACTTTTTATTGTGGTAAGAACACTTAACATGAG